GTATTCGCCTATACATAACAAATGCTAAAAATTCTTGTTGTTTTTCATATAAATTGTTTGGTAAATGCTGAGCGATGGTAGTACAATAACAATTACTTAAGTTGTTACAGCTCATTAAACCATCCAACCATTTGTTACTAAAAGCAAAAGATTGTACATTAGGACAGAATGCTTGCTATTATAGTTGTTGTGCTAAAGTTTTTGCTTTTACTTGAATCATATTTCGAGAAACTGCTTGCTGGTTATTTCTTCTTTCCTTTATCCACTCAACTAAAGCTATCTCTAAAGCTGGATATTTTGGAGGTTTACCTTTATTTAAACATTTTAAATTAGGTCTTGCTTTCATAAATTGTTCTTTTTTAGATACCCAGTCACAAACTTGTTTGGTTTCAATATTAAATTTAGCTGCTGTTCCATTTTTACTATATCCCTTTTCATGATACATAACAACAGCAAGTTTTTCTCTTACATTCTATACTCTTCGTACTTTTTCTAATATTCTTGCATAGTTGGTATTTTTATTTGCGTGCGAACCCATATTACTTATGACAAAGTTGTAAAGAAATGGCAAATTTATGTTGTGATTATAAGGATAAAAAAAACCAAAAAAAGGTTTAAAGTCAAACAAAAGACCAAAATTAAAATAAATAAAATTCTGATTGTGTTATCTGTGAAATTCACGTTATTCACAAAATTCGTGTCATTCATATCATATAATATATTATGGCTTTATTTCAAAGGAATGACTGGTTAACACTCTTATAAGAGTGTTAACCAGTTGCGTTATAATATTAACTAGTTATGAGTATACTGTTAACTAATTATAGGTATACTGTTAACTAGTTGGTGTTTTCAATGCTCTGTGAGCTTTTTATTATCTTGTAGCTATCTGCTTGTTTTCATTGCTCTGTGACTTTTTTATTACCTTGTAACTATCCGCTTGTTTTTATTGCTCTGTCCTCTTTTTATTACCTTCTAGCTATCCACTTGTTTTCAATGCTCTGTGGCCTTTTTATGGCCATTTTGCTAGGCCGACATTAATTGCAAATAATCGTGTTGTGATCGGGTGGCGCAGTAAATTTGCGATCAGATTTTGGCCGACACTATGCTATATTTTTGACCCGATCTTTAGGGCGGAATATCTTGGCTTACTGTGATTGGATTCGTACGGTTTTGAGGTCGTTTGAAAGAGGGAGTTGAGAGCATTCCAATGATGCTAAGATCACATGAATCGGATGCCTGGATGCCGAGATATTGCATCCAAAATTCTGGTAAAAAATATGGATTAGTGCCGGCCAGAATTTATCAGATCACCATAATTTACTGCGCCTTACTGCGCCAGTCACGTGATACTGTTCGGCGCCAGAACACCCTCTATCATATAGTATTACTAATTTTGGCCGGTATTATAATAAAGCTAACTCTGACCGATTTTTTGGACATATAATTTTGGGATCCATCTTGGCGCCATGGTAGTGACCTGGAGCTGTTATGGAACTGGTGTAGAACTGGCAAGGAGCTAGTATAGTTTTATTAATTCGCCTGTTTCAGACCACTTATATGCCAGCTTGGGTGCCGAATTATTATATCCAAAGTTCTGGCCGAAATTGTGAAATAGTATTGGCTGAGCCGAAATTGAATAAAAATTTACTATGCCTTCAGTTCCTAGCACTTTCCCGTCACTTTCTCGCAACTTTCTCGTTACTTTCGAGGAATATTCAGAGTTCAGTCTGGTGAATCAGTTGGTCAGAGGTTTGGAGATGCCCATTTGATTGCCGGATGAGGCACAAGGTGTCGAATTTGCAATCCATCTATTTGCCGAAGATGTATTGCAATCCATTTGCCATCTCTTAATTGCCGGTGAGGCATAGGCGAAGTGCCGACGTTGTGCCATTCTTGCAATCCCACCTTTCATGACCTTTTTAATTGCCGAGGATGAGGCATGAAGTGCCGAATTAGTTCAGGCTATATTGCTTTCATACCCTTTTTCGTGTATTCTCCTGAAACTTTCTGCCTTCCCGATCTCTTTCCTGCCTATCAGCGGTGACCCACTCAAATGAAATTTCTCTTTTCTTTCCTATATATAATTCTGCTTGAGTGGGTCACTATAAACTTGCTTGTTTTTAGCTTTTAGGCCTTGTTCCTGTATAGTTACTACTTTGGAATATCTTTGCATCGATTACTTTGGAGTATTATTTTATATATTTATTGCATATTTATGCTAGTAATCTGATTAGAGGCCAGAATGGTTTATACTTTTTTATTTTGTTTTTGAGTCATACATATTACATTTTTTATTTTGAACTTTTCAAGTTTTTCTGTTATTTTATACTGCTTTCTTGCATATATACCATGCTTCTTGCGCAAAAAAAGCCCGGGCCTGGCCCTAAAAGAATAAATGAAGCAATCAGGCTCTTTTCAGGATTATCGGACCTTGATTATGAGCCTGGTTATAATGATCATGTATACTTTCAATATTTGTCTAATAATAAAAATGATATCTCTCTTCTAGGATCCTATCATCCTAAAGAGATTTATTCAAAATATATTATTCGGGTAGCAGGAAAGGGTTTTACGGTAGTTGATCATCCATCTGAAGTTTATGGGTTTTCCGATACTCACGAATGTATTGATGGAAATCTGCCTCTTCGCCTGGTTCTGGATATTGACGCAAGGCAGTATTCCGATCCCATGAATCCCGAATTCCCTTCCTTAGATGAATATAAAATTTCTCGCGAAGATTTATTATCCAGAATCTTAATTGCCTGCGCTGATATTCTATACTTTGATTTAAAACATCTTGTACCTTTAAATGTTTTTACCTTAGCCAGTTCGTCTAATGCCAATAAATGCAGTTGGCATATCATTTATTCTCATGCCCGTTTTACTGACTATAGAGATCTTAAGGGTTTTGTGGAAAAAGTTGCTGAGAGGGTTGGAAAACCATACTCAGAATTTATTGATATAGGTCTTTATAAATCACGTTTTAGTCTTCGGCTTCTTGGATCAGCGAAGGAAGATAGAGTTAAAAGACCTGCGATTTCTTCAATCAAGGAAGGACATTGCAAGTTAAAAGATTATTTAGTTCAGCCTAAATCTAATTATTCTGAAATCTGGCCACGAACTTTTTCTCCTGAGAAACCAGAAAGAGAGGAGTTTCAACCTATCGAAGATAAAACCGCCTTAAGCATAGGAGCTAGTTTGGTTACTGCAAAATATGAATGGCTTGAGATTGGTGATATTAGAAAGGGATTTGTCAACTTTCAAGCTCAGTCATTGGAAACATACCCTATTTGCGATATCAAACACGAAAAAGACCAGTTATATGGCTTTCTTCTTAGTAGCGGAAGCTTTATGCTTAGATGTTATCGGCAAAAGCAATATAAACCAGATCATAAAGGATTGATATTTGGGGAAGCAACTAAATTTTCCGCAAAACCTAAACGAGGAATAGTTGAAAGAATAAGCAATGCTATATCAAATCCACATTCTCTTGTAAGATTATCAGAGACAATTATTAATGTAGAAAAATTAAGGGATTCTCCAGAAGTATATCCCGATTTCTTGAGTACTGAGAAAACGACAACGCTTATTCGTTCTCCTCCGGGAACATGGAAAACCACTGCGTTAAGAGAGATTATTATGGCATTGAAAGATAAAGTACATGATATTTCTTCTTTGCCATGCTTTATCTGGATCTCTTACCGAAAGTCTCTTAGCAATGAATCAAAAGCAAAACTCAATGATTTAAAAGCATTAGGTTTCCGAATTTGCAACTACCAAAATATGCAAGGAGACCTATCTATAAATGAGTGGGATATTATCATAGTACAGGTTGAGAGCCTCTTTCGTGTCGAATTCACAGCCCGTTCATTTGTAGCTATTCTCGATGAAGCCAATGCCATTATGCGCCAAATGTTTAGCGATACAAATGCACGGGAATCTGAAAACGCAATGCGTGATGTCTTAAGATCTGCAAGGCATGTTTTGGCTATGGATGTCTTTGCGAATAAATCTACATTAGCATTCCTTAAGGCATATCGTGGTGAAGACATTCAAATAGTTGATAATGGATACCAGCCTCGTATAGGCGAGACAGTTGAATTTATTTATGATCCGAATAGCGGAGCTGAAGCTATGCGAATAGGATATGATCTTTTGAGACAGGGCAAACGTGTGGCATTCGTATCTACTGGAGCAGTGATGGCTAGAGCGTTAGTAGAAAAAGCATCTAAGTTGTCTAAGCCTGATAATTCACCTGTTAGAGCCCGTGCATATTATGGGGATATGGATGGAAAGCAAAGACAAATAGACTTTTCTAATATTAATGTCGCTTGGAGTGAGCTTGACTGTATAGCTTATACAAATACAGTGGAAGCAGGAATATCATTCGAGGTTACAGGTCACTTTGATATAGTTATAGCTATTTCAAATACCGCCACTCCAGTTCATGTTGAAGCTCTTGCACAAATGCTTTACCGAATTCGTGATTGTCCTCGCCGTATTGTTTCTATATTCTATCAGAAAAATTTCAATGAACTTTTTCGCCCGCCAGGTCGTGAAAATATTCGAGCAGAACTAGCAAATGCTCGGCCTAATAATTTATCTACATCAATAAAGGGCCACCGTGAATGGGATAGCAACACCGTTTCTTATAAAATCGACGAATCTCCTGCTGTAATAACATTCATTGAAGTTGAGCATGAGAAACGCCTTTCTGCAAGATATTTTATTGAGAAGCTTTGCAGTCTTGTAGCCAGTACTGGCGCTTCTCTCCAACTAATAAAAATGGATGAGAGCCGAGGAGTTATAGGGAATCGTAAAAAAGTC